CTTGGTCTTCCTGACCTTGGTCTGTCGTCAACTCTGTTGGTGTTGTTGTATCGGGTCCACAGTGCGGAGATTGTCTGTCTGGATACGCCAAAGTGCCTGGCCACTTCTTGCTGAGTTGCTCCAGCTTGTAATCTCCCAATGGCGTTGTTCCGTTGAGCTGCATTCAGTCTTGGCATTCTGTCACCGCCTCTACTGCCGTTATAAGGGCTGTATGAACAGCCGTTGATGTGGATTTCAATACCAATTCAGCAGGGGGGCCTGCATGACTAAATGCAGGATCCTGTGCTGCACGTTTTCTACAGGCGGTTGCGTTTGGATGAAGCTGTAAAATTGATCCCCAAACGCTACGTTTATGTGCTTTGCATGTTTTTTCGCGAATTATAGACAGATCATCTTTCTGTTTGACTTATCTGGTTCTAATTTAATGTAATTATTTAAGATATTTGGCAAAAAGTGGTTTTACATCTATGTCAAGTTTCTTTTTTGGAAGAGTATATGTTTACGGTTATGGAGTTATGAGCGTAAAACCGACAGGATTCTGCTTAGCGGTTTGCACCTCCATAAACGTAAAACAATATTCAATTCAATTTATGATATGATATCATTTTCAATCCACGCAGATCACCATTTATTCAGTGTCCGTGTTCTCTCATGTATAATGTCAGGTAGGCTGGCACCAGCTGGTGATAATAGACTGGCCATGACTCACCGCAAGGCGTGGATTGGAAATTAACGGGTTCGTCTTATCAATAGATGTACGGAAATGATAGGCTTATCGTGTACATGGTCTTCGTTTAATTTGGTTTCTCTCATTAATCGGTCAGACTTATGGATAGTTTTGTTAAGCGACATGGCGACCTAGTTAGGCACCACGCTTAGTTGTGGGAGGCGAGGCATTTCATTGTGCAGAGACACGCACCTTTGCTGTGCCAGACACTACCGTGTACCAGACACCAGACACTACCGTGTGCCAAGCACTAGCGTGTGCCAGACACTACCATGTCCCAGACACTCAGACACTTCCGTGTGCCAGACACTTCCATGGGGCGAATTCCGGTTTGTACTGATCATGTTTCTGGGTTTGTTAGCACCATACCCTTGCTCATGGGTTTCGCAGAAGCGGTAAATGTCTGTAGCGGTATCACTTTGCATATTCTCCTACATCAAACTCACACGCCGTGAATACTGTGCAAAGCGCCGTTAAACCACTCACTCACTCACTCCTTATCACAAATGAACACCACACACACCATGCCTCAAAATATGTACGATCATAAATAGAAAACAAAATTCACAGTTTTGTAAATTGAGCTGTCAAAGAAGTATTCCCACTACCCCCCGCCTCCTCACCATGACAACCGCATCCCCTCCTCAGATCGCTCTCGTAATAACACAATGTTGCTGACAAGGTACAGCTAACTGTATAATGGTATCCATGGCAACCAATTATCCTTCCAATATATCCCTCACTTGTTATATTGATTCGAGGGTGTGTGTGTGTGTGTGTGTGTAGGGGGGGGGGGGGGGGGGGGGGAGTTATCTCATTACCCCGTGGCTGTGTGTGGAGCAGGTTTACACCTGTGCACAGAGATCACTTGTCACATGATCACCTGTCACTCACGTGACCTGTCCAGAGGTTATGTATTTGGCACAAAATGATTTCGTAAATACATTTTTCGCATTAGAGATATCATATTTAGTATTATACGCGGGAATGTGAGAAAGTGATGACATATGGAGGATCTCACCCGAATGTCTTTTCATGTCAAATACGACCCGTAAAGATCCGGGGTAGAATAGGTCTTCAGCAACCCATGCTTGCCGTAAAAGGCGACTATGCTTGTCGTAAAAGGAGACAAACGGGATCGGGTGGTCAGGCTCGCTGACGTGGTTGATGCATGTCATCGATCCCAATTGCATGGATCGATGCTCATGATATTAATCACTGGATTGTCTGGTCCAGACTCGATTATTTACAGACCGTCGTCATATAGCTTGAATATTGCTGAATGCGGCGTTAAACAACAAACCAACCAACCAAATCATGTCAAATACACACCTCGTCAAAAGTATCGCACCACCAAATTTTAAGTGTAATTGCGAGTTAAATTTTCAATGTAGAGATTTTCAAATGGTACACTGTGTTGACACATCTGCATGCAGAGTTATAGCCATCTGGACTCCCGAATCTTGTGGGTACGTTTATCCGAGCCGTATGCACACCTCAGGGGTCTCTGTAGAGAAATTCTTGTTTAAAGTCAGAACGTTTGTGCATCTTTACTGCCATATTTTTTTTGTCTTTAATGAAAATTCCACCAATTTAGAACGGTTTAACTGTAATGCCTAGGTGTACAATCCCAGAAAATCAAAGATCGCAAATCACTGGCATGAACCACGGGCTATTGTCACCGTGTTGAACATTAATCATACAAAAATCAATCGACTCATTAGAAAACACACATTGACTGGAGAGACCTGCCGAGATCAGGACGTCCACAGAAGACCAGAGACAGGAAGCACAGGATCCTTCTACGTCAGCCAACGGCTGCTAACTTCAACTTGCAGTGTTCTTCGTCATCACTGTCATACACACAACAGTGTCCCTTACCGCCACCAGGCGTCGACTGAAAACAGCAGGATTAAGGCCAGATGACCAATAGGACGTCCACTCCTCTCACCCCAACACACGCAGGGCCGGGTAGCCTGGTGTCAGGTCGAGCTTTTCGAACTTGAGGTGGGGGCACGGGTGGCCCAGTCGTCTAAGGTGCCGCGATTCGCTGTGCAGAGTTGCGTCCCGTGGGCACGCCAGAAACCTATCATTGTGGGTTCGAATCCCGGTTCGCCCCGATTATGTTTCTAGGTTTGTCAGCACCATACCCGTGCTCGTGGGTTTCACCGAAGTGGTAAACGTCTGAGACCTGCATCACTTCGGGCTTTCCTCCCACATTAAGCTGACACGCCGTGATATAACTGGAATAATGTTAAAAAAAGCGGCGTTAAACCCAACTCACTCACTCACTCGAACTTGAGGTCATGGAGGAGGATTTTATTTTCATCACACTGATGGCAGGACTTGTGCCTGGAGGCAACGAGGAACATCTTCTTATCAGCACAACATCAAGGAAACAGTGACGTGTGGTGGCGGCTCAGTGATGGTATGGAGATGTTGTTCCTTTGATTGTAAACTTGATGTGGTCACAGTTCAGGGGACAAAGGCACCAAGATAGCATTGTGTTGTCCCTCCTTCCTGTCTTCATGGGCAAAACCCGGTCCCGCCGAGCACCTACTGACCATCTCCAGAACAACGCCACTGAGACTCAGGATCAGTTGGGACATAGGGTCAGAGCCTGGGGCCCCCAAGTACAGAATCTCCAAGAATTGAGCCAGGCATTGCAGGAATTGCAACACATCCCTCAGTTGAGGATCAGGCGTCTGATTTTGAGCATGGGACGTCTTGCGGATGTGATCGTCTAGGGTTGGCTTCACCAGGTATTGACTTCCACTGTATTGATCATCTTACTGACAAAGGTACAGCGTTACTAAGACAGGTGTTGATCTCATCTCATTCCTGACAGTTACCATACCAGCCTCTGTTTATCCCCAGTGGCATTCCTCATAGTCGCTGACGAATAAAGATGTTTTTCTTCTCTGCTAATGCCCTTTTATAAAATTATCATCTTATTTGATGTTAAGTGTCACTTTTCACTGCTCTTGTTTCGCTTGCCAACTTCCCCTTACCCGTCCATTTTCTGTATACTTTTTGTATGGGGAGTTTACACGATGTCCAGCTTTTCCTTTGGACGAGAGGTCGGTCACATGACCGCGAAATTGACGTTCATAAGTGAATGAACGACAAAATTTGACGTCCATACGTTTTTCACGAGACCGTGTTCTTGAAATGACGGAAACACTGACGGACTACTTCCACATTCCTGGGGAAACCCCTGGGGATTCCCCAGCACGAATATATGTTTCTCATCATTCAGACCCTTTAATATTGAACTCAACGTTTTAGCATACATTGGGATAAGTCAGAGTTTGATTGCAAGCCCGTTCAAAGATATCCTCGGTACAACCCATCCTGGAGAACAAAACGAAGAAAAGCACATCCAAATTACCGCAGTATTAGCAACAGCATCTTCCCGATGCAAGGGAGTTAACTGACTATAAAGTCCAGTTTCCACCCTTGCCGAACTAGGCTGGTATTATGGAGTTATATTTTGGCTGGACTAACGAGTCTATGCATAGTCCAATCAAAATCGCGCACCGAAATAGAAATCCGGTTCGTTAACTGTCGTGCAGATTTCGGTCGATTGCAGGATTTGCAATGCATGTGCACCGCCAACTCGTTTTCAGCAGATATTTTCCAAATCTTTTCACGTTTTTATTCAAGGTCCTCACGTGATTTGATGCATTTCGCGATGTAAGACCCGTTTTATCACAATATATATCTTGATTATCGATCAGATCGTCCTGACCGGGCGCCACCATTTTGTGTGAAGCAAACGCAAGTGATACAAGAGGTGGAATCTGATTGGTCCATAGGAGAGGCTTAGACGGGACATAACTGGTGATAGCCACTTGTGGCGCTACGATCGAACCCAGTAATTCCAGCCTAGTTCGGCAAGGGTGGAAACTGGACTTTTAAAGTCAGTTAACTCCCTAGCCTCGGAAAGAATTAACAACAGTGACAAGCTCCGACGTTCATACAGTTTGGCCATCGCTCTATAAAGCTGCATACTCCAGTGAACTCACTCAAAGTGGAAGTCAATTCTTAATTATCAAAACATCTCGGTTGAGCGATACTTTTGACGAGGTATAAAACTACATCAAAACGAGTTGATAAAAGTTTCAAACGCCGAGACTTGCCGAGATTTTAACTTGTATCCAAGAGTGTCGATGTCTATGATACAAAGACACTCTCACTCACTCACTCACTCACTCACTGTCACTCACTCACTCACTCACTCACTCACTCAGTGTTTTTCCGTGTGCTGTAGGGGGCCCGCTGTTTCAAGGTCAGATCGAGGATTACAAGGGAAAGTGTCACGTGATGTGTCCCTGGCACGCCTACATGTTTGACCTGAAGACCGGGAAGAACGAAATCGGACTGGAGGTAAGACGACGTGAAGGAGTTGCTGATACCCGACTCCGACTTCTCCCCAGCAGGACATCTATAGAAACCTGAACGAGAGGGGGAAACTGCTGTCTGTTTGTGTATGTGTGTATGTGTGTATGTGTGTGTGTGTGGTGTCTGTGTGTGGTCTGTGTGTGTGTGTGGTCTGTGTGTGGTGTCTGTGTGTGGTCTGTGTGTGGTGTCTGTGTGTGGTGTCTGTGTGTGGTCTGTGTGTGGTGTCTGTGTGTGGTGTCTGTGTGTGGTCTGTGTGTGGTGTCTGTGTGTGGTCTGTGTGTGGTGTCTGTGTGTGGTGTCTGTGTGTGGTCTGTGTGTGGTGTCTGTGTGTGGTCTGTGTGTGGTGTCTGTGTGTGGTGTCTGTGTGGTGTCTGTGTGTGGTGTCTGTGTGTGGTCTGTGTGTGGTGTCTGTGTGTGGTCTGTGTGTGGTGTCTGTGTGTGTGGTCTGTGCGTTGTGTGTGTGTATGGTGTCTGTGTGTTGTGTGTGTGTGTGTGGTCTGTATGTGTGTGGTGTCTGTGTGTGGTGTTGGTGTGTGGTGTCTGTGTGTGGTGTGTGTGTGTGGTGTGTGTGTGTGGTGTCTGTGTGTGTGTGTGGTGTCTGTGTGTGGTGTCTGGTGTTTGTGTGGTGTGTGTGTGGTGTGTGTGTGTGGTGTGTGTGTGTGTTGTGTGTGTGTGTGTGTGTGGTGTCTGTGTGTGGTGTCTGTGTGTGGTGTTTGTGTGGTGTATGTGTGTGGTGTCTGTGTGTTGTGTGTGTGTGTGTGGTCTGTATGTGTGTGGTGTCTGTGTGTGGTGTTGGTGTGTGGTGTCTGTGTGTGGTGTGTGTGTGTGGTGTGTGTGTGTGTGTGTGTGTGTGTGGTGTCTGTGTGTGGTGTGTGTCTGTGTGTGGTGTCTGTGTGTGGTGTGTGTGTGTGTGGTGTGTGTGTGTGTGTGTGTGGTGTCTGTGTGGTGTGTGTCTGTGTGTGGTGTGTGTGTGTGTGTGTGGTGTCTGTGTGTGGTGTCTGTGTGTGGTGTCTGTGTGTGGTGTATGTGTGTGGTGTCTGTGTGTTGTGTGGTGTATGTGTGTGGTGTCTGTGTGTGGTGTCTGTGTGTTGTGTGGTGTATGTGTGTGGTGTCTGTGTGTGGTGTCTGTGTGTGGTGTCTCTGTCTTGTGAGTCTGTTTGTGTATGTGGTGCGGCGTCTGTTTGTCTGTATGTGTGTGGTGTCTGTGTGTTGTGTGTGTGGTGTTTGTGTGTTGTGCGTGTGGTGTCTGTGTGTTGTGTGTGTGGTGTTTGTGTGGTGTATGTGTGTGGTGTCTGTGTGTGTGGTCTGTGTGTGGTGTCTGTGTTTGGTGTCTCTGTCTTGTGAGTCTGTTTTTGTATGTGGTGCGGCGTCTGTTTGTCTGTATGTGTGTGGTGTCTGTGTGTGTGGTGTCTGTATCAGTGTGGTCTCCATGTGGTGTCTGCGTGTGTCTCTGTGGTGTGTGGTGTCTGTCTGTGTGGTGTGCGTTGTGCCTGTCTGTCTGTGTGTATGTGTGTGGTGAATGTGCGTGTTTGTGTGTCTGTGGTGTTTGTGTGTGTGTCTGCGTGTGTGGGGTGTCTGTATATGTGTGTGTGTATATATGTGTGTGTGCGTCTCTGTGTTTGTTGTGTTGTGTTTGTGTGCGTGTGTGTGTGTGTGTGTGTCTCAGGAAACATTTTAACAGTTTCAAGAAACTACAAACCGTGTTGGGAAATTATCAGTTGTCAGTAGTGTTGGGAAACTATCAATACTGTCGGTAAAACTATAAATACTGTCGGGAAACTTTCACCAGTGTCGGGAAAGTATCCAAAAACATAAGTTGTGTTGTGAGTTCAGACACACCCTTTGACTTCTGCATCATGTCAAACGCATGTAACATTCATTCAAAGTTATACCCAGGGACCACGATTCCAGGTAGGAATTGATCCCAAGCAACCTATGCTGGTCGTGAGAGGTGACTTCAGGGATTGGGCGGTCAGTGACCTTCAGGGATCGGGCGTTCAGTGACCTTCAGGGATCGGGCGGTCAGTGACCTTCAGGGATCGGGCGTTCAGTGACCTTCAGGGATCGGGCGGTCAGTGACCTTCAGGGATCGGGCGGTCAGTGACCTTCAGGGATCGGGCGGTCAGTGACCTTCAGGGATCGGGCGGTCAGTGATCTTCAGGGATCTTGGTCCATTGCCTGTCAGCGTACTCCGACGGCCTAGGACGTTGCTCATAATATCAATCACTAGGATGTCTGGTCCCGGCGGCTGTCAATAGCTGGTTTACTGCTGAGTGCAGCGTAAAATGCAAGTAAACAAAACAAACAAACAAGAACGCTGCGATGGTGTTTATCCTCCAAGACAGGAACAGACTGTAAACCGGTCTGTCTACTGACCTCGTCAGGGCGTGTGACGTCACCTCCAATGTCACGTGACATGTAACTGCGGAGACAGACAGACTTGCACGGGCGCCACGTGTTGGGAGCTGTCACTCACGTGTCTAGTTATGATGGTCGTGACGTCAAATCAGAATAAGCGTTTCACAATATGCCAATCTGTCACGTGGAAGTGCCAGACGATGCGTCTCTGTCGTCTATTGCATATTTGTAAACAACGACTACTAAACTATTCACAATTCTGCCCAATGCGTCAATAAAGGAGGCCCCAAGCGTGTCACCGTTTAATGATTACTCGCAATAAGACCTAAAATAACAGATCGTAAAGATGACGCAGCGTATCGATTGTCAGGAACCCGTCTATATGAGAGTCGTTACATAGGGCCTTTACGATGGTTTGTTTGTTTGTTGCTTACCGCCGCACTCAGCAATATTCCACCTATATGACGGCGGTCTGTTAAAAATCAAATCTGGACAGACAATCCAGTGATTGACATCATGAGCATCGATCCACGCAATTGGGACACGATGACATGCATTAACGAAGTCAGTGAGCCTGACCTCCAGATCCCGTTAGTCGCCTCTTACGACAAGCATGGTCACCTTTTACAGCAATCATTGGTTGCTGAAGACCTATTCTACCCCAGATTTTCACGAGTCTGTGGACGATATGTCAGCCAAGGTATAAACTGCACTAACAATTACTGACATGACGAGGTAGTGGAATTTAATGAATCATTTTAGAACTGTGTTGCAATGACGTCTCTAGTACGATGATGTGCCCTGAGTCGAGAGATTTTGAGACTTTTTTGAAAGATACAAAACAGCAGCTGATATGGCTATTGATTGGTATGGACGATAGTGTTGTTAACATGATGTCCCCCTTCAACACAATGTTGTCAGCGCCAGGTCTGTACTTACGCACATATTTGAAGGTAGCAATCGAACGTTCAGTCTCGCCGCTGCTTCTCCAACAACGAAATGACGTTAGCTTTTCTAAATGGGTTTTTTATCATAAGTACGAACTGGACGTACGCATGTCGCAGCTTGTGGAATCACACTTGTATCCAGGCGGTGTTCAGGTTGTATCCCAGTTGTATCCAGGCGGTGTTCAGGTTGTATCCCAGTTGTATCCAGGCGGTGTTCAGGTTGTATCCCAGTTGTATCCAGGCGGTGTTCAGGTTGTATCTCAGTTGTATCCAGGCGGTGTTCAGGTTGTATCCCAGGTGTATCCAGGCGGTGTTCAGGTTGTATCCCAGTTGTATCTAGGCAGTGTTCAGGTTGTATCCAATTGTATCTAGGCGGTGTTCAGGTTGTATCCCAGTTGTATCTAGGCAGTGTTCAGGTTGTATCCCAGTTGTATCTAGGCAGTGTTCAGGTTGTATCCCAGTTGTATCTAGGCAGTGTTCAGGTTGTATCCCAGTTGTATCTAGGCAGTGTTCAGGTTGTATCCCAGTTGTATCTAGGCAGTGTTCAGGTTGTATCCCAGTTGTATCTAGGCGGTGTTCAGGTTGTATCCCAGTTGTATCTAGGCAGTGTTCAGGTTGTATCCCAGTTGTATCTAGGCAGTGTTCAGGTTGTATCCCAGTTGTATCTAGGCGATGTTCAGGTTGTATCCCAGATGGAACCATCCCCTCTCTCTGTGGCCCCCCTGTCTCTTTGGCCCCCCTCTCTCTTTGCCCCCCCCCCCCCCCCCCCTCTGTGCCCCCCTCTCTCTGTGGCCCCCCTCTCTCTGTGGCCCCCTCTCTCTGTGGCCCCCCTCTCTCTTTGGCCCCCCTCCCTCTTTCGCCCCCCCCTCTTTCTGTGGCCCCCTCTCTCTGTGGTGGCCCCCCTCTCTCTGTGCGCCCCCCCCCTCTCTGTGCCCCCCTCTCTCTGTGGCCCCCCTCTCTCTGTGGCCCCCTCTCTTTTACACACACATCACCCCTCCCCCTACAACTTGTCACGTCAAAGTACTGGCCTCACCCCACAGCAGACATGTTTCCTGAGGACCTACTTTGCATCGGTATGTCCAGCGGATCAATACTTCTTAAAATAACCGTAACTAGATAACATACCATCGGTAGATATTGATGGTCCAACTTCATGACACGACAAGATCACAGAATCATAAGACGCACGATCGCGTGGTGAGTTTTATCGAGCGTCAATTTTAATATCGGTGTTCATTTTGTTTCCAGCAAGACGTGTTTCCCGTCAAGGTCGAGGCAGGGCTTGTGTACATCCAACACAAGTCTGAGCTGTCACTCAACCCGTTCCTATAGCAACCAGACAATTACATCGAAGCATTCGGCACAAATCGACAAGGTAGAGAACGAGATACCGAAGATCACGAAGGAGTTCCACAGACATCCATCAACGTCATAGATGCCAGTGGCTGGCGAGAGATCATCTCCTGACATTCACGGCCGTGGCCGTCATTTTCCTGGGGACAGGAATCTCAACACACACTCATCGCCTCTCTGTCAAATGGCTTGACTGTCATAACACCTAACATTTAAGAAGAGATACGTTTAAAATTTATGAAACAATTTACAAATTATTGTCAAGATCTCACGGCACATCAACAGGTATTATTGAGCCGGTTGATTTTTCTACCAGAGTGTACCGTTACAGAAAATGTGTTTGTTTGTTTGTTTGTTGTTTAACGCCGCACTCAGCAATATTCCAGCTATATGACGGCGGTCTATAAAATAATCGAGTCTAGACCAGACAATCCAGTGATTGACATCATGAGCATCGATCCACGCAATTGGGATCGATGACGTGTATCAACCACGTCAGCGAGCCTGACCACCCGATCCCGTTAGTCGCATTTTACGGCAAGCATGGGTTGCTGAAGACCTATTCCACCCCGAATCTTCACGGGTCTAGCCTCGTTATAACAGACAGTACTGTTTATAGATTATGTTCCTAGGTTTGTCAGCACCATACCCGTGCTCGTGGGTTTCACCGAAGTGGTAAACGTCTGAGACCTGCATCACTTCGGGCTTTTCTCCCACATTAAGCAGACACGCCGCGATATAACTGGAATAGTGTTAAAAGCGGCGTTAAACCCAACTCACTCACTCACTCATTTGAAAGCTGTTTTAGTGTCGCGTATTTCGACTGGACGAAGCAATGGCGGCGTATGGCGGTCCATATGAGTGAGTGTAGTTTTACGCCGCTTTTAGTAATATTTCAGCAATATCACGGCGGGGGACACCAGAAATGGGCTTCACACATTGTACCCATGTCAGGATTCGAACCCGGGTCTTCGGCGTGATGAGCGAACGCTTTAACCACCAGGCTACCCGACCGCGCCTGGTTCTTTTAATGAGAGCGATGTGACACTGAGAGTGGAAACTCACAATTCCATGTAGGTCATGATGCCCTCCTTTTGAAACAGTGTATTTATATAGATGCGATAAACCGATCTGATAAAGGGGGCACGGGTGGCCCAGTCGTCTAAGGCGCCGTGACTCACTGTGCAGAGTTGCGTCCCTTGGGCACCCCAGAAGCCCATGATTGTGGGTTCGAATCCCGGTTCGCCCTGATAATGTTTCTAGGTTTGTCAGCACCATAACCGTGCTCGTGGGTTTCACCGAAGTGGTAAACGTCTGAGACCTGCATCACTTCGGGCTTTCCTCCCACATTAAGCTGACACGCCGTGATATAACTGGAATACTGTTAAAAGCGGCGTTTAACCCAACTCACTCACGATCTGATAAACATGCAAATGAGATGTCCTAGCAGGAACTACTTTTCATAAAAATATACATACGCATCCAACTTGTTCAAAAACCGTTTCGTAACATTAAAAAACACACACACACAACAAAAAAACATTCCACAAAAGTTAATTTAGTTTCCCGGATGTGAGATGTGTAGGCATGGCTGCAAGTCACGTGGCACTATATCACACTTGGGGCGGCTCACGCAAGCATGTATTCCTATTGTATGATAGACACCGTACGGAAACACGGTCGGGTAATAATTTGTGTTCTCCGTATGCAGCATGGGTGTATGGAAACAATTCGGGCAATACAAGTCATATCTTTTAGAATTCCGGTGCCAAACACGATACTTCAACAGTGAGACTTCTTTCAATAAGTATTCGCGTCCACAATAAGCGTATATTTCTCGAGGTGTATATGGAGATATCTGTAACATTGTTGTAACCACGATGTAGTGAATGTGTCGTACAACGTCGCTGTCCGCAACAACACAACGGCTTGTAAATATATAACTCAAAACAAGTTGAGGACCACCCGATTTATACCACAATAGTATGACAGAACCGGGTGGCCCAGTCGTCTAAGGCGCACGATTCGCTGTGCAGAGTTGCGTCCCTTGGACACGCCAGAAACCTATGATGGGGTTCGAATCCCGGTTCGCCCCGATTATGTTTCTAGGTTTGTCAGCACCATACCCGTACTCGTGGGTTTTACCGAAGTGGTAAACGTCTGAGACCTGCATCACTTCGGGCTTTCCTCCCACATTAAGCTGACACGCCGTGATATAACTGGAATACTGTTAAAAGCGGCGTTAAACCCAACTCACTCACTCACTCTTCGGTCGGGAAACGTTGTGCCTGCTGATGTCGTGTGTCGGCGCCAGTATTGTTGTACTCGTGATGTGTGTAGTCTCTCGCCATCAGTGTTGTGGAACTAGTTTTACACACGTACTGCATGAAGACAGTGAGTGAGTGAGTGAGTGTGTGGAACAGTATTTCAGTCGGTGGCGTGTGTGCAGATGTAGGTGTAAATATCCTGTATTTATGGATGTCTGAGACTTTTTACCAGCTTGGTGAAGCCCCGCGCACATTCCCAATATCAGCGGATCCTGCCATTACTAAGGGACGCAAGCGATATCTCCCGTGGAAGCCACTTTCAGGGGATAAATCCAAGTAACGACCAGATTTTGAACAGACAATTTATCTTAACATTGTATTCTTACCAAAGATTAATTTTTTTTGTTTGAATTTCCATTCGACCGCCGCTCCCTCTGAGACTTGAGATGAAAAACAAAACAGTGTTCAAAACAGTTGTCAAATGTCTCCAGTGTCTTGTACACAATGTCTAAAATTATACAACAATCTATAAACACAGCAACCATTTCACTTTTCTTTTATAAGACCAGAATGATTTTAATAATTTATTGTCTATTTTAATTGTTTGTCTCTTTAAGACGACGTGTACTCTTCAATATACATGCTGTGAAACCCCTTTAACGTGAATCTCGCGGACTCAGCATGTCACACAAAATGATGTACTTCCATAGTCTCGATGCCCGTATGGAATACTCACTTTGGCGAAAAATCGATAATTTTTGTGTGGTCTTGACGACATCCTGTTAAAGAAGTTTCACTGCATCGCGATAACAATGTGTGGTCAAAGTGACGCGTGCAACAGGAAGCACGTGACGTATCACGTGACCGGTGTTTGCTCGAAGCCCGAGTAGGGCAGGCGTCTCAACCACACTGTATGTAATGCAATGGATTTTGTAAATAAAATTATCTACCTGGCGTGTTTGTTAATTTAATATATATTCCATACTTTCAACGATTTTAGATTCGAACCCATTCTTCAGGTTGACGAGTGAACGCTGTAACAGTTAGACTACTTGTGCGTTGGTTGGTTGTTTAACGCCGCACTAAGCAACATTCCAGCTATATGACGGCGGTCTGTAAATAATCGAGTCTGGACCAGACAGTCCAGTGATTAATATCATGAGCATCGAACCACGCAATTGGGATCGATGACATGCATCAACCAAGTCAGAAAGCCTGACCATGCAATCCCGTCAGTCGCCTTTTAGGACAAGACTAGTTGCCTTGTACGGCAAGCATGGGTTGCTGAAGACCTATTCTACCCCGGGTCTTCACGAGTCGGCCTGAGTAGTGAAGACATAAAGTGAAGGAATTTACTCCAGGAGATAACTCAGCGAGTTCGGTGGCCAAGAGAAATGGGACAAAGCACACTGTTGGAAACCTTTGGACGATGGTTAGATAGTGCTGTACAGATACCGACATCCATCGCAACAGTCACCTTGAACAACAAGCGGATATAAGCCATCGAGGTGAGAGCGAGCCAGCTGTCATGACCAGACTTGAGTATTTTACCTCCACTTCGATCAATACACACAGGATACAGTCGTCAACATGTAGGGGTAGTTGGAACTGGAAGCAATCTCATTAAAATCAGATGTTAGTCCTCGCTACTGCCAAACAAAGATCCGAGGGTATCCCATTACTGGTCACGTCAGAGTGACCTTTCGCAAATTTTGACCGACAAGTGGCATGACAGACAAGAAGCCGACATTAGTCAATAAGAAGGCAGCTTTCTCGTGCCCTACGGCACCAAACTGGCGCCAACACTTTGAAACACATTTGGACAAATTCTCGATAGAAAATTTGAACACGGAACAAAGGAACATTCTGGAATGGCTAAGAGATGGCCTAGAGTGTATGGGTTCAGGCATAAAGGCCGTACTGTTCTTCGGAATATCCCGTGTTAAATCTTTCGATGTTACATGATCAGAAATCAAATTTAGGCCGTCACGTTCATGATCTGGTAAGCGACGCTCTGATTGGTCAGATGGAAGGTCGTTAAGATGTGACCCGTAATGGGATGTCCTCGGGTCTTTGTTAAGTGGTGACGAGAACTAACATCTGATTTTAATGAGAGTTGAACGTCATAGCAGTCTGTCGACATCAGTTGAATGCCACAAATTAAGCAGCTGGTATTTGTCAACAAATTAAGCAGCTGGTATTTGTTAACAAACTAAGCAGCTGGTATTTGTCAACAAATTAAGCAGCTGGTATTTGTCAAAAAATTAAGCAGCTGGTATTTGTCAACAAATTAAGTAGCTGGTATTGTCTACAAATTAAGTAACTGGTATTTGTCAACAAATTAAGCTGCTCCAAAGGTGTTCTGGTTCGAGCGTACCCACAAAAAAACTTACATGCTTATACCAACCTAAACAGTCATCTGCCTACTAACAGACGGTGGCAACACCAGCCCCGACAACAACAGACGGTGGCACCACCAGCCCCGACAACAACAGATGGTGGCACCACCAGCCCAGACAACAACAGACGGTGACACCACCAGCCCAGACAACAGACGGTGACACCACCAGCCCGGACAACAACAGATGGTGGCACCACCAGCCCGGACAACAACAGACGGTGACACCACCAGCCCGGACAACAACAGACGGTGACACCACCAGCCCGGACAACAACAGACGGTGGCACCACCAGCCCAGACAACAGACGGTGGCACCACCAGCCCGGGGAACAACAGACGGTGGCACCACCAGCCTGGACAACAACAGATGGTGGCACCACCAGCCCGGACAACAACAGACGGTGGCACCGACAGCCCGGACAACAACAGACGGTGGCACCACCAGCCCGGACAACAACAGACGGTGGCACCACCAGCCTGGACAACAACAGATGGTGGCACCACCAGCCCGGACAACAACAGATGGTGGCACCACCAGCCCGGACAACAACAGACGGTGACACCACCAGCCCGGACAACAACAGACGGTGGCACCACCAGCCTGGACAACAACAGACGGTGGCACCACCAGCCCAGACAACAGCAGATGGTGGCACCACCAGCCCGGACAACAACAGATGGTGGCACCACCAGCTCGGACAACAACAGATGGTGGCACCACCAGCCCGGACAACAACAGATGGTGGCACCACCAGCCTGGACAACAACAGATGGTGGCACCACCAGCCCGGACAACAACAGATGGTGGTACCACCAGCCCGGACAACAACAGTAGTGGCACCACCAGCCCGGACAACAACAGATGGTGGTACCGCCAGCCTGTACAACAACAGACAGTGGCACCACCAGCCTGGACAACAACAGATGGTGGCACCACCAGCCCGGACAACAGACGGTGGCTCCACCAGCCTGTACAACAACAGACGGTGACACCACCAGCCCGGACAACAACAGATGGTGGCACCACTATCCTGGACAACAGACGGTGGCTCCACCAGCCCAGACAACAACAGATTGTGGCACCACCAGCCCGGACAACAACAGACGGTGACACCACCAGCCTGGACAATAACAGACGGTGACACCACCAGCCTGGACAATAACAGATTGTCAACACTCAAAGCCATCAGCTTGGAAAGAGCAGATGACTGAGCGCCCTTCAGCAGCGAGTATATGGATAAATCTATAATTTATTATATTTATACCATGTACTGATCCTTAAGTCAGCTCTCACAAGCAAAGGGAGCTGGTGATCCGTCCTGTCACCCCTGTAGGTACATTACTTATGCAGGTTGGTTAGTTTGTTGTTTAAAGCCGCACTCAGCAATATTCCAGCTATATGACGGCAGTCTGTAAGTAATCGAGTCTGGACCAGACAATCCAGTGACTTATATCATGAGCATCGATCCACGCAATTGGGATCGATGACATGTATCAACCAAGTCAGCGAGCCTGACCACCCGGTCCCGTTAGTCGCCTTTTACGACAAGCATAGTCGCCTTTTACGGCAAGTATGGGTTGCTGAAGACCTATTCTACCTCGGAATCTTCACGGGTCACATTACCTATCTAAAACCACAGGTCCAACCCACTCACACGCCGACTCTACAATAGTGTCATACACACTTAAATATCATCATTTTTGCCACAACTGACAGTCAAAGATTTCAAATTAAAAACTACACGAGTTGTGTTTGACAACAGGAAACAAGATGTACAAAATGATTTATTTATCACAGATTCTTACAGAATGCTTTTATCACTGTGTCCACCGAGACCTGGTTAATCCAAACAGTGATCAGGTGGTCAGGCTCGCTGACTTGGTTGATACAGGTCATCGAATCTCAATTGTGTGGATCGATGCTAATGATGTCATCACGGGATTGTCTGACCCAGACTCGATGACTGACAGACCACTGTCACATGACTGGAATATTTTGCCGAGTGCGGTGTTTAACATCAAACAAACAGAGTGAAATGGTCCGAGAATAAATGAATTATGTAATGTTTGTTGCTTGAAGCCACACCGAGCAATATTCCAGCTGTGTGATGTCGGTCTGTAAATAATTGTGTCCGAACCAGAAAAAGTAGTGACTGATATTATGGACAGATCCCACACCATTGGGTAGGATGACGGAAACAAGCAAGTTAACGAATGTGACCACTTGATCCATGGTTACTGCATGAGCTTCCTCTAATGCATGCAGGTTTCCAGATTAATGGAGTTTCAGTGTACATAGTAACCAGAACATAACATCACTTGTGGCAGCTCTCCCACACTCACTTGCTCTGATGTAGGTCATCATATGTAGGGTGGGTTGGTAGGTGGGTTTGAGTGAGTGAGTGAGTGAGTGAGTGAGTGAGTGAGTGAGTGGGTGGGTGACAATTGTCAACTCGTTGCGTAATGGTTCACATATAAATTCCCCACATATCATATATATTTCAGATGCAATTAAAAGCACACTGGTATGTGCAGAATTATACAGTATGATTGAAAACATTTAACAGTGTCCTGGGTATATTTTTAGATGCAAGACATATGTAAAATCAAAAATGATTTCTGAGGGATTCTTTGACGAAGAACCTGAAATCATAGGCGCATTCTGATTGGTTTGTCGTATTTTCGCACATAACATTCATCGATAGGGGACGAGTCTTCTTGCAGGTTACGGAGGGGGGGTGAGTGGTGACGAATGGATCAGAATACGACTGTCATCAACCCAATTGTTTCAGACCTACATCCGTAAGCTTGTGGAGGATAGTGTGTGAATGAGGCCATACTATGGTTGTCATGGTCATTCAGGTCCATATCAACATTAGGTAGAGGTCCTGGGGTCGCTGTGTCGGCAACACAACATTCCCCAAACAAAGAAAGAGAGGAGAACACAACAACATTCACCTAGCAGTTAATGGGTACCCGGTAGGATAAAATGGCAATGTTGTTGTTAACCTCCTGACACCTAACAGGCAGTTTCGGTTGTATACTCTCCATGGAGCTGAGAATGATTGTTGAGTGCACACTTTTCCAGTGATCGGAGTAATAATAGCGCTCTGAGCATGCCCCTGTGTGGTGTGGAAATATGCACAATATAAATGGCATATTATTATTATTATTAATAAAATAACATTGTCAAGCAACTTTAAAAAGACACTCAATGTGAAGGGACGGAGTGAGCTGAGACAGTGAGATTAAAATATAATTCCAATATACAATCATGCACACTACCTCTGGGCCCTATTCCACAAAGGTATCTTAGCGATCAGACAATCATCCCATTACTTAACATTGACTTGTGATAATCGCAGCGCTAAGATCGCCTTATAACATGGGTCCTGGGCCCACTTGCACAAAACGATCTTAGCGCTAAGATTATTTTAAGCCTATGTCAAAGTATGGGAATTGAGACCATCTTAGCACAAAGATCGCTTTGTGCAAGTGGGCCCTGGTCTACTGAGACGTATGAATTGTCTCTCCTTGTACACAGGTCACAGCTGATATGCTGTTGGAGAGGACTGGTCTCACAGTTTGGCTGAGTCAAGGTTCAAATTGACGGACTCTGACAGACAGATACCATGTATATACATTTCTACGATGTACAAATAAAAACATTAACATTGACTTCAACTGGTATTCTTTAACAAATGATCAGTGTAAAGCTGTAGGCGTGGGCTTTACACCACTCTTAGCAATATTCCAGCATCAAAGCAGGGCACACCATATTGTAGCCATGTGGGGAATCGAACCCGGGACTTCGGCATGACGAGTGAATGCTTTAACCACCAGGCTACCAGGGCAGATCAAGCCTTTATTAAAGGGAGGGGTCGAAATATCAAAATCCTCTCTCAGTGGGGGTTGGGGAAAAGGGGGTATTGTCTAATACTATGTTTGGTTTTCAAAAGGGGGGGAAGGACCCCTTCGACCCCTCTGGATCCGCCTGTGGGCTACTCCCCCTCCCAAAGCTGCTGGAAGGTTAAAGAGATGCATGACACTTCAGCACGAGCTGATGGAGAGACGGAAGGTGCTGGGGCCGTGATGCTGAAGCCATACAGGACAAAAGCGACACTTCAGCACGAGCTGATGGAGAGACGGAAGGTGCTGGGGCCGTGATGCTGAAGCCATACAGGACAAAAGCGACACTTCAGCACGAGCTGATGGAGAGACGGAAGGTGCTGGGCCGTGATGCTGCAGCCATACAGGACAAAAGCGACACTTCAGCACGAGCTGATGGAGAGACGGAAGGTGCTGGGGCCGTGATGCTGAAGCCATACAGGACAAAAGCGACACTTCAGCACGAGCTGATGGAGAGACGGAAGGTGCTGGGCCGTGATGCTGAAGCCATACAGGACAACAGCGACACTTCAGCACTCACATGAATAACAGACCCACATACACAAACACAAAATACCTCAAGCAATAAACAGACAGCAAGCACCTAAAAGTTCCCCTCGATTACTAAAATGAATTGGATTGAGCAGTTACAAATTCAATGAAAATGTTTAATGTCCCCAAACCTTCCACAGATCGATAGTTTAGGACAGTTGACGTCCAACATCATGAATGTCTTGATGAGACAGTTGACAGGAGTGTAGAATGTGCCACAGGGACTGTTCCTCAAGTCAGCAGTCAACACACACAGGAGTATTCTACCTCTATATAATACATATACTGCCCACTTGAAGTACCAGTGGCAGTGTCCAAGTCTCGCCCTGGATAGACTGTCAACATTCTGGTCAGGTTCAACATTCCACAACTCCTGACTGGTGTATGTAGTATGTGGGTACACTTGATACAGGCGCTGTGGTCTGCCAGTCAGTTCCTGGTAGTCAATGAGTCCCCCTTGAATGATGCCATGGAGCGTCTTCGACTTATGTGTCCCCCGTCATGATAGCGATGAACTCATCCTCGTCAACTGCAAGGACAAACATAAAGTCAGACGCTGAGCAATCTCATAAAAAACAGGGCCCTGTGCCACAAAGCGATCTTAGCGCTAAGACTGTCATAAACCTGTGTTAAAGTATGGGAGTTGCGATCATCTTAGCACTAAGACTGTCGTAAACCTGTGTTAAAGTATGGGAGTTACGATCATCTTAGCCCTAAGACTGTCATAAACCTGTGTTAAAGTATGGGAGTTACGATCATCTTAGCGCTAAGACTGTCATAAACCTGTGTTAAAGTATGGGAGTTACGATCATCTTAGCCCTAAGACTGTCGTAAGCCAGTGTTTAAGTAAGGGAGTTACGATCACCTTAGCGCTAAGACTGTCATAAACCTGTGTTAAAGTATGGGAGTTACGATCATCTTAGCGCTAAGACTGTCATAAACCTGTGTTAAAGTATGGGAGTTACGATCATCTTAGCCCTAAGACTGTCGTAAGCCAGTGTTTAAGTAAGGGAGTTACGATCACCTTAGCGCTAAGACTGTCGTAAACCTGTGTTAAAGTATGGGAGTTACGATCATCTTAGCGCTAAGACTGTCGTAAACCTGTGTTAAAGTATGGGAGTTACGATCATCTTAGCGCTAAAATCGCTTTGTGGACCGGGCCCCAGATCTTTTTACTCCGATATGTTACCTGATTATGTGGAGATCTGACAAACGCTTCATCAAGTTCCTGGGACGATCACACTGTTGACAGGCCAGTGTGTTTGACGCCTCACATGAGGACCAGTTCTTGCTAAGTTGTCTATTGCACTGAACACTAGGGCTGGGACAATCACACTGTTGACATGGCTAGGGTGTTTGACGCCTCACATGAGGGGCAGTTCTTGCTAAGTTGTCTATTGCACTGAACACTAGGGCTGGGACAATCACACTGTTGACAGGCCAGTGTGTTTGACACCTCACATGAGGGGCAGTTCTTGCTAAGTTGTCTATTGGTTGGTTGGTTGGTTGTTTAACAACCCCACTCAGCAATATGACATGCATCAACCAAGTCAGCGAGACCGACCACCCGATCCTGTTAGTCGCCTTTTACGACAAGCATAGTCACCTTTTTACAGCAAGCATGGGTTGCTGAAGACCTATTCTACCCCGGAATCTTCACGGGTAAGTTGTCCATTGCACTGAACACTAGGGCTGAGACAATACACCAACTGTGCGATCCGATACATATCACGATACCTTGCTCATGATCCGATACGAACCGCGATATTTGCATGTGCTCTTATCTGTGGTGTGTGAGCCATGTTTATCATAGACAGGATGGCCAAATACCTGGCACACTGACTATTTACAGTTGCCAGTGTCATGTATGCTGCAATGGATGAGAATATTCATGTTCTCACTACTCATTTTCACAAGTAACTAGTGTTTGGTGTAACATTTATTGAAGGATACATTGAAGGTAAGAATCAATACTTTTTACTTTGCGTGCGATTGTGATCGATGCTTGTATCAAGAAGTAAACAATCGCGATCCACGGATGAATCTGTGTAACGTCCCACTACTTCTGTACACTACTCCACTGTTTGAGTGAGTGAGTGAGTGAGTTGGGTTTTACGCCGCTTTTAACAGTATTCCAGTTATATCACGGCGTGTCAGCTTAATGTGGGAGGAAAGCCTGGAGTGATGCAGGTCTCAGACATTTACCACTTCGGTGAAACCCATGAGCACGGGTATGGTGCTGACAAACCTAGAAACATAATCGGGGTGAACCGGGATTCGAACCCATAATCATAGGTTTCTGGCGTGCCCAAGGGACGGAACTCTGGACAGCGAATCGACTGGGCCCCCCGTGCCCCCCACTGTTGGATATATTTACTTATCTTTCCATGTTAAGCAAAACAAATTCGCATAAAATATTTGTATGTATAAATGGAATGATTATCCCTATCAAAAGTTGAGTTGTATATTATCTCGCACTTGTGTTCAAAATGTCTGAGGTGAAAGTTGATTAAATAAAAAGAATGGTGTTCCTTTTTGATTTTTTAGGGTTGACAAATTTGACAAAACTAGTAAAACATGTGTCTCCATAGGGGATGGATTATTTCTTCTTACATGATCCTGGAACAGTAAGGGGAGACTACTCACTCTCTCCATCTCCGTTGCGGTCAAACTCATCAATCATTGCTCTCAGCTCCTCGTCGGTCATATTCTCTCCCAGCTCCCTGTAACAACACAGGGTACAGGGGATGTAAAACAACACTGCCTTCTGTTGGTTGGTTTGTTGTTTTACGCCGCACTCAGCAATATTCCAGCTATATGACAGCGGTCTGTGAATAATCGAGTCTGGACCAGACAATCCAGTGATTGACATCATGCGCATCGATCCACGCAATTGTGATACGATGACATGCATCAACCAAGTCAGCGAGCCTGACCATCCAATCCGGTTAGTCGCCTTTTACGGCAAGCATGGGTTGCTGAAGACCTATTCTACCCCGGATCTTTAAGCGTCTCTGTTGTTGGAGGTGTGTGCACAACAAACAGGCTTTCAAGTCATCTATATCATGCTCAGTGTCACAGGTCATAGGTCCACTTGCACAAAGCGATCTTAGCGCTAAGATGATCGTAACTCCCATACTTTAACGTAGGCTTACAAGAGTCGTAGTGCTAAGGTCCCTTTGTGAAAGTGGGCCTAGGGCAACAGTGAAACCTCATGATCAATAGGGCTGGGACGATACACAACCTGTGTGATGCGATACACAACATGACACCTTGCTCATGATACGATGCTTATCATGATACGTGCATGTGCTCTTGTCACTCTTTTCAAAGACAGGATGGCCAAGTACCTGTGACACTGACGATTTACAGTTGGCAGTGTCAATTATGGCACAATGGACGAAAATATATTTACATTTTCACTATTAATCAGTGTTTGCTTGATGTAACAGTTATGAAAGAATAAGTTTAAAGTAAGAATAGATATTTTCACTAAGTGTTTGACTGAGATTGAAGGGAAGTTGTTTGTTTGTTTGTTCTTTATGGCCGCACTCAGCAATATTCCAGCTATATGACGGCGGGCTGTAAGTAATCGAGTCTGGACCAGACAATCCAGTGATTGACATCATGAGCATCAATCCACGCAATTGGGATCGAAGACATGCATCAACCAAGTCAGTGAGTCTGACCATCCAATCCGGTTAGTCGCCTCTTACAACAAGCAAAGTCGCCTTTTATGACAAGCATGGCCTATTCATGACCTATTCATGGCCTATTCTACCCTGGATCTTCCCGGGAGATCGGCCTATTAGTGCTGTGACCTTCTCACAGACAGACAGACATCATCACTGGTCAACAAGTTTCACATCTGCAGTTTACCACTTCGGTGAAACCCACGAGCACGGTTATGGTGCTGACAAACCTAGAAACATAATTGTGGCAAACTAGGATTCAAACCCAAAATCATAGGTTTCTGGCGTGCCCAAGGGACCCAACTCTGCATAGCGAATCGTGGCGCCTTAGACGACTGTGCCACCCGTGCCCCTGCAGTGTACAGAGAGATCTTGCCAGCGTTCATCACATACCTTGCTACTCGGCGCAGGTTTCGGAGGCTGATCTTGCCGGACGTGTCATCATCAAACAGCTTGAAGGCCTTCAGGATCTCCTCCTGTGGGTCCCGCTCCAGCATCATGTCAGTCACTGGCGAGGAGACACGAGAAGACAATAGTGACAACAACACGATAAAGGTAACTGAAGGAAATTTGGATTTAGTTAAAACCCAGAATCACTGAATTCCTGTTGGAAATGCGACCAAAAAATACAGAACAGTGTAACAGTATAAAGATACCATGTCACAGCATGGTATGACATTATCAGTGGAATGTCACAGCATGGTATGACGTCATCAGTGGAATGTCACAGCATGGTATGACATCATCAGTGGAATGTCACAGTATGGTATGATGTCATCAGTGGATTGTCACAGCATGGTATGACGTCATCAGTGGAATGTCACAGCATGGTATGACATCATCAGTGGAGTGTCACAGTATGGTATGACATCATCAGTGGATTGACACAGCATGGTATGACATTATCAGTGGAATGTAACAGCATGGTATGACGTCATCAGTGGAATGTCACAGCATGGTATGACATCATCAGTGAAATGTCACAGCATGGTATGTCATCAGTGAAATGTCACAGCATGGTATGACATCATCAGTGAAATGTCACAGTATGGTATGACATCATCATTGGAATGTCACAGCATGGTATGATGTCATCAGCGAAATGACACAGCATGGTATGACATCATCATTGGAATGTCACAGCATGGTATGACATCATCATTGGAATGTCACAGCATGGTATGACATCATCAGTGGAATGTCACAGCATGGTATGATGTCATCAGTGAAATGTCACAGCATGGTATGACATCATCAGTGGAATGTCACAGCATGGTATGACGTCATCAGTGAAATGTCACAGCATGGTATGATGTCATCAGTGAAATGTCACAGCATGGTATGATGTCATCAGTGAAATGTCACAGCATGGTATGACATCATCAGTGGAATGTCACAGCATGGTATGTCATCAGTGAAATGTCATAGCATGGTATGACATCATCAGTGGATTGTCACTGCGTGTCAGAAATCCAATAGATACTCAAATGCCCATGATTTATCTATTTGCTAAAACAGTAGCATGCTCACACATTAAAATTGTTTTACCTTGATGAACTTTCATCATGTTCATCCAATCGTGGTAAGAACAGTACACTGCAATTCACCATACTTTTATGCAAAATAGTTCACATACAGGAAACAATGTCCCTGCATGCCTCTAAAATATACCCAATTTGCATACAAGGGACAATCATTAAACTAGCTGCATACATAAAACAAACAGACTTACAAACTTCATTAAAGTCATCAAATGTGATCTTTCCGGAGCCTTCCCTGTCGTAATCTCTCAGTACTTTCAGGACGTCAGCTTTCTTCACATCAAAGCCCAGTGCCCGCATAGCAACCTGAAACATCAGTCAGCATGTATTGAGGAGAAACAGTTGACAAGTGAATTGTGCAAGCTTGAATCAGTGTGAATGTTTGGAAAGATTCAGCTTCAGTCCTAGCTTAGTGTCTTCCCCTCAGGACTGTGTCTTGTTGCTAACTTCCTGTTATAGCCTTGCTGAGATCATGGGGATATGTTTCTGTATTGTCACTGGATGTGGTGTATTGTCACTGGATGTGGTGTATTGTTGTTGGATGTGGTGTATTGTCACTGGATGTGGTGTATTGTTGCTGGATGTTGTGTATTCTTGTTGGATGTGGTGTATTGTTGCTGGATGTTGTGTATTGTTGTTGGATGTGGTGTATTGTTGCTGGATGCGGTGTATTGTTGTTGGATGTGGTGTATTGTTGCTGGGTGTGGTGTATTGTTGCTGGATGTGGTGTATTGTTGCTGGATATGGTGTTTTGTTGTTGGATGTGGTGCATTGTTGCTGGGTGTGGTGTATTGTTGCTGGATGTGGTGTATTGTTGCTGGGTGTGGTGTATTGTTGCTGGATGTGGTGTATTGTTGCTGGGTGTGGTGTATTGTTGCTGGATGTGGTGTATTGTTGCTGGGTGTGGTGTATTGTTGCTGGATGTGGTGTATTGTTGCTGGATATGGTGTTTTGTTGTTGGATGTGGTGCATTGTTGCTGGATGTGGTGTATTGTTGTTGGATGTGGTGTATTGTTGCTGGATGTGGTGTATTGATGCTGGATGTGGTGAATTGTTTTTGGATGTGGTGTATTGTTGTTGGATGTGGTGTATTGTTGCTGGATGTGGTGTATTGTTGCTGGATGTGGTGTATTGTCACTGGATGTGGTGTATTGTTGCTGGATGTGGTGTTTTGTTGTTGGATGTGGTGTATTGTTGCTGGATGTGGTGCTTTGTTGCTGGATGTGGCGCATTGTTGCTGGATGTGGTGTATTGTTGCTGGATGTGGTGCATTGTTGCTGGATGTGGTGTATTGTTGCTGGATGTGGTGTATTGTTGCTGGATGTGGTGTATGTTGCTAGATGTGGTGTATTTTTGCAGGACGTGGTGCATAGTTCTGTCGGGTCACTTTGAGTTCGTGGTAGTCTATAGCTATAGCTTGTCGGTGTGTATTGTCACAGGATGTGGTGTACAGTTCTGTCTTGTTACCTTGAGCTCATGCTCGCCGACTTGGCTGAAGCATGTCATCGATCCCAATTGCGTGGATCGATGCTCATGATATCAATGGCTGGATTTACAGACCGCCGTCATATAGCTTGAATATTGCTGAGTGCGGCTTAAACAACAAACAAACAACCAACCTTGAGCTCATGGTAGTCTATAGCTCTGTCCTTGTCGGTGTCAAACAAGTCAAAGGCCTCCTTGATCTCCTGTTTCTGTTCCTCTGCTAATTCCCTCTTCTTCTTCTTCTTGCTCTTGTCCAGGGCAAACTCCGCTCTGCAACAGACAGTGAGTGAGTGAGTGAGAGTGGTTTTACGCCGCTTTTAGCAATATTCCAGCAATATCACAGCGGGGGACACCAGAAATGGGCTTCACACATTGTACCCATGTCGGGAATCGAACCCGGGTCTTCGGCGTGACAAGCGAACGCTTTAACCACTAGGCTACCCGACCGCCCCACTGTGCAACAGACAGCACCACGCTCCAGCTCAGCCGTATGATTGAGGTAAAACATGCAAATAAACTGACCATCCATCGGTGAGTTGTTACATGACCGTGTAATTTATTGTTTAACAATGACTGTATTACATTGTTTCTGTTGAGTAGGAGTTTATTGCATTGTATCTGGACAATAATTAGTTGTCAGGAATGAAGTACCATATAATGTAATCAGTGGTGAGGAAGTTATATTTAGATGCTCGAATTACCGTATACGCCATAATAAGGGCCCAGGGCGCTCTCAAAATTAGAAATAGGGGGCTCTTATTAGAATAATATTTTGGTGAAAAAAAAACAGAGTTGAAAGATCAATTTCGTGGTTTATGTTGACAGCCTGAAATGTTTATATACGACATACATATTTTTCCAGAATTTAATTGCCCATAATTAAGGATGCATATGACACACGAGTGCGTATTATACACGAGTGCGTATTATACACGAATACATAAGTCTTGTACATTGATCAATCGGAAGGGGTGCTGATTGGGATTGTTCACTAGCCAATATATTAGGAAATATTGCCGTGGGTGCTTATTAGAGCGGGGCGCTTATTATGTCGAATACGGTATCTGTAAATTTCCGGAATAGCATGAATGGATGTCGAGCGTTTTAGAAACGTTGAATGTTCTGTGATATTCAAGTGACACTGGACTGGTCTGGCACTGTGTGGAAAGTGTGGAAAGCTAGTTATACTACATAAGTGGAGTGGGCGCATGCCTGTCTCATCTCACATTTCATCAAGACCAGTGATTGTGTGATGATCACTTATCAACCTGGAATCTCAACCTCGGGGACTTGACTACTGTTACTGGGAGTTGAATATTATTATCGCTGTCATCGTATTTTCAATTTGATACTGCCAATGAAAATATTGTACTACCACTCTATTGCATACTGCCACTGTAATTGCTCAGCAGCAATTTGAATAGATTTGTAAACCTCCTTAAATTTGTAATACAATTGTTGATTGTATACAATTTGTTGGTTATTCATTGGTTTCACACTAAATGTTTTTACGTACAGATTTCTCGGTTAACATATTGTTTTGATTTGGGAATTGACATACACAGTGTGACCTTGTGACATGGACAGCACTAGACATATGGGATGTGAATAGTACCCCTTTATTAAAAACTGATATTTGCATAATCATGATAATAGTCACAGCAAGTCTGTGCCAAAACCTTTTGAGACAACTAGCCACAATTTTTGAATTACAGCAATCACAGTGAGATCAGTCAAAAATCATGATAATGTGTGTGTTAATTCTTAATTTGAATCACTCGAGTTGTCAGGGGAATTTTAAGCTTAATTTGAATGTTTGGGACTCCCTAATGAGTTTGAGACAATGAATTTGACACATCCAGTTTGACAGATCCAAGTATAAATAAAACCGAATTCAGAGGGACTGGATTGCGAGTTTGAGACACATTCAAGTTTGACACATCGAGGCTCGACTGTATGATGTGGGCTTTGTAAGAGTAACCATGGTAACTGAACAGGTGACTGTACTGGCAATGGCAATGAGAGTTCCATCCTTCTCTACTGTTGTGTCTACTGCCAGGGCTGGGACGATACACCAACTGTGCGATCTGATATGTATCACGATACCTTACTCACGATCCGATATGTATCACGATACTTGCATGTGCTCTTATCTGTGGTGTGTAAGCCATCTTTTTCATAGACAGGATGGCCAAATACCTGGCACACTGATGATGTACAGTTGCCAGTGTGAAGTTTGTTTTCACTATTAATTTGCACTACTGATTAGTGGAACAGTTATTAACTCAAACATTTAAGGTTTGCATCGATATTTTTTACCTTGTGTGTGACTGTGAACTAAGCTGACTAGTAAGACTCCCTCCCTCGACCCCCCAGAGGCAGAGTGGTGGAATACCCCATTTAAAATTACAATTACCCCATATATATATATAAAATTTTAATTATATAGACTCTTTGAGTGAAAATCTCAGAAAATCTTTCCCAGCCACGACAAATGTTTCAGATTTGATAAAATCACAAGACTCACAACATAACACGTCTGGGTCTCTTGATCTATACCCCAATATACCCTCTCCCCTCCCTCAAGCCCGAGATGGAATGGAAATTTTCTGTTTAAAATATTCAATATGTAAACAAATGACATGATCGCACATGAAAAAGTCAAATTCCACACCGAGACCAAACTACATTTTTGACAGATACTTATGCAACATGCAGTGGATCAATAGCAGACGACAACAAGTTAGTTATGTTTGTTGTAATAACAGTTTTCAGCCAAATATAAGAAATCATTCGTTACCTTAGCGATAGACTCATCCTAACTGTTTCTCAATTACAAGTTCAAGTTGATACTCGCGCGCCGCCATATAGCTCTGTAAAAAGAGCCGCATCATCGTATCCAAGGTTATTTCAAAAAGATAGATTAGGAGGTGAACTGGGATAATCCATGGATCGTTCGAATTTTTCATAATAAAAAAAACTTGATAGCAATTTGGAGATGTAAAGACATTTTGTTCAATAGTTAACTGTTTTATAGATAAATCTACATCGAGAAAAGCCACTAAATGAAAAAATTAAGGAATGTCATTTCATAAATATTCGTTTTTACTTTGTAAATAAACCACACAAAATAAAATCACATAGCGAATGAAAACAATGTTTAGATTAAGTTTGCCTGTATAAATGTACTTAGATATAGATTTCATTTCGTTTCATTTGAAATAATTGAATATGTTCCCCATGGTACGACACGGCGGCTTGGGAACAGTTACAATGCATTTTCTATCAATTTTGTCTTCGGATTGTAAGATCCTAAAGTTACTGTAAGCATTATGGCACACTTATTTTGTACGACATTCGATATTCTGTCAACAAAATTGATTCAATGCCTAGGGTACGATACATCATTGATGATAGTACTTAACCTCCTTTTCCATTTAAATTGCGTTTTTACTTTTGGAAGTAACCGACCGTATAATGTTTCATAAATTGACAACCATTGGTGTAAAATAACACAATAATGGAAAATGTCGTCATACATGTCACATATTCTATAACAAATAGGAAAGCATGTCCATGATACGAAACGGTGGCTTGGTAACATTTACTTCCGGTGAACATTGATATGTAAACAACAACGAAAGCATGCGGTAATTAATTACTGTTGCACAATTTTGACACTGTCAAAGTAATCACGGCTAATGCATCATTTACCACAAGACACTGACTCCTTTCAAAAACTATGGAAGATAATGAATCGGACACGCACTGATAGCGCGACCGTGTAGGCGACGCGAGTGTCCAGTGAGTAGCGCTATCAGCGGGGCAGTCAGTCACGAGTTAGAAAACTTGCATCTGGCAGGTACACACTCATTACACCCTATACTCTAGACATCATGGCGTTTCCTAATTCAAATTTCGTTTGATTGTCCTAGCTTAAGATGAAATCATGTACGTCTAATATTCCCTGGAATCAATTTACCCTGAAATAGTATCTAAATACATTTACTTGCTGCAATATTATCTAAAAAAACATTTACCAGCTGCAATGTTATCTGAAATCGTTTACCTTTATAATTACCTGAACTCATTTACTTGTAATATTACCTGCTCATTTACCTGTAATATTACCTGAACTCATTTACCTGTAATATTACCTGCTCATTTCAGAGCTCCAGATAAGCTGCATATCTGCGTAAAATACGCATCAGAAATGCAGAAATATGCAGTAAAATAAAATCCAAGCGTATCAAATACGCAACCAACATTACAGATATGCTACATAAATAAAATTTGCCCGTATCATCAAAATATTGTGAAGTAGCCCTGCGTATCGATTAGCAAATCAGCAACTTATTTTGAAATTATAAACGGGCATTCCATCAACTTTGCCAAACTCCACGATGACAGTTACATCATGATCATTTGCCATCACACTTTTTTGTGGAAGTGTCGTGGTATTTTTGAGTCCTATAAAGCTCTCGAGCCCACACGACACCAGTTTGCAGGGACTAGATGAATAGTGTTTTTAGATATTTAACTAAAATACCCACATGTGTAAAAACTAGTGGGTAACAGAAATTTGAATACCCAGATAGAATAACTGATACCCAATGATTTTAAAATGCATGGGTAAAATACCCACAACACCAAAAGCTTATCTGGAGCTCTGTCATTTACCTGTAATATTACCTGCTCATTTACCTGTAATATTACCTGCTCATTTACCTGTAATATTACCTGAACTCATTTACCTGAACTCATTTACCTGTAATATTGCCTGAACTTATCTACCTGTAATATTGCCTGTGTAATATTACTGCAGGTACTCACTGCTGTTATGTTTTCAGACTGACAGAAAGTGGGATGTTGTGAGACTGACGTGTAGTGTGATGGCCCGGGATGAAGAGACTGTCTGGTGAATACAGGAACCTGTTGCAGGTGCATCTGTCATGTGCATCTGTTGTGTGCATTGTGGCGCATCAGTATCACAATGAGTAGACGTTGTTCTATAGCTGTTACACTACTCTGTTTGGATTCTTTATGACAGCATTTTTAGAATAAGAAAAATCTACAAGCAACCATGGCTGAATCAGATCCCACTATTTTGCCTCTTGATGCTGCCTTGTCTATTTCCCCACCCACAAGCACACAACCTGCTGCCACGCCTACCAACACACATCTTGCTGCCACGCCCACCAACACATCTTCAGTGTGTCAGCTGTGCAGATGTATTCAAAATGAAGACTTTACTCAAGCCAGGCTGATGGTTCGAGAAAGGAGTCAAGAGATATTCGATCCGGACAAACGAGCTGTTTACAATATCATTCACTACTACCAAACCTACCTCAATTCTAGGTCAGATGGCTTAGATATCCCGAAATCTGATTTGTGGAAAATCCCCAGCATCAGCCAATCAGAAACCAGGTTGCAATTACTGGACATATTGAGACTATTGTTACAGGCTGACCTTGACCCCAACGTCAAGACGGGATCCGAGACACCTCTAATGGCGGCAGTGCGGACTCATGATGAGAGTCTGATACTGATTCTGCTGCAGCATGGCGCTGATCCAAACCTGTGTGACGGACGTGAGGAAATGAACGCCTTTGCCTTGTCAATCATTCTGAATGATGTGTCGACGGTGGAGCAGCTGTTGCATTATGGGTCAAACGTCAATGCTGTCTGCTGTGGGACCGTGACGCCACTGCAGCTGTCGATGAACAAGAGCGTGCACATCTCCAAACTCCTGCTTCAGAGTGGTGCAGATATTCAGCAGGTGCTGACGATGCCGTCCGCCCACGAGGTGCAGATAATGGTACCACCACTCATCCAGGCCGTTGGGCGTGGGAACATCTACCTTGTGTCAGTGCTTCTTGAACATGGGGAGGACGTAAACCAGACGTACGGCGACCACTCGGAAACTCCGCTGCACCTCGCTGTGAAGAACGGTGACTATCACATGGTAGAGATGCTTATTCAGTACGGAGCCTCTCTCAATAAACTCAGTGGGCGGGGTCACACTGCTCTAGGCTTGATGCTGACATCAGGCAGCGCAGGGGACAACAGGATAGCTCGGCTGTTGTTGAAATGTGGCTGTAGTCGGAGGAGAGAGACCATCATCTCCATGTTCCAGAGATCCTACCCACCGATATTTGTGGCGTGTTTTATGGGGAACAAGGAAATTGTTGATTTGTTGATTGAAGAAGATGAGTCACAGTGTGATGCCTCTAGAGCAGTGTGTGGAGTTCAGAACATGACAGTGTTAGGAGCTTCTGTTCAGGAATATGGGTGTGACAACGAAGAAACTGAAGTTGAGAAAGTTTTTGCTGAAAAACATTTACAAACAAAATCAAAACTGAAAAGAAAACCAAAGTCTTCTGGCGAACCTGAAACTATGTTGAACTGCACCGCGGCTGATGGTTGTTCCCCGGTCATTATGGCAGCCCTGGGGGGTCATTACACCCTCGTGAAGCATCTGCTTCATCTCGGGGCAGATCCACACATCATCTGCTGCCATGGCAACCTGACCCACGCAGCCGTGCTGAGTTCGAGTGCAGAGAGTCTGGACTTGCTGGAGCTGGCGACGAGTCTGGGCTGCAACTTGAACCTGGTGAACGAGTACGGGAACACCCCTCTCCATCTCTCGGCTCGCATCAACGTCCCAGACGTCTGCCGCTACTTGGTGGAGCAGGGGGCGCTCCTCAATGTGCGGGACCGGTTCGGGGAGACGGCGCTGTCCGCCAGCGTGTACTTCGGCTGCGAGGACAACTCTCGCATCCTCATCCAGCAGGGTGCAGACATGAACATCGCCGACTCCAGGTACTACCATGCTGTGTTAGTGAGTGAGTGAGTGAATGAGTTGGGTTTAACGCCGCTTTTAACAGTATTCCAGTTATATCAGCTTAATGTGGGAGGAAAGCCCGAAGTGATGCAGGTCTCAGACGTTTACCACTTCGGTGAACCCACGGGCACGGGTATGGTGCTGACAAACCTAGAAACATAATCGGGGCGAACCGGGATTCGAACCCACAATCCTAGGTTTCTGGCGTGCCCAAGGGACGCAACTCTGCACAGCGAATTGCGGCGCCTTAGACGACTGGGCCACCCATGCCCCCTCCCCCATGCTTTGTTAGGAAACAGTACTGCGCAATAAAATTAACAAATCAGGATGTATTGTCAAAATGATTAAGTTTCCGTTATATTCATTGAAATTCCTGCATTCTGAGTGTAAATGTTTTTGATGCACGAATGTACTGACTATAATGACCCTCCTTTAATACTCGTCACATTCTTGGATGACCTTCACCATGACCTTGAACATTTCTTTCCATTTTGCCCTGACCCTCCCTCAAATATGTTTATGTTTTTTGCCCCACCCACCCCTACAGTCTATGACTGATCCCTAGTGGGTGCTACAATATCTGATCCCCTGTGCCCAACCCACCCCTACAGTCTATGACTGATCCCTAGTGGGTGCTACAATATCTGATTCCCTGTGTCCCACACACCCCTACAGTCTATGACTGATCCCTAGTGAGGGTACAATATCTGATTCCCTGTGCCCCACCCACCCCTACAGTCTATGACAGATCCCTAGTGGGTGCTACAATATCTGATTCCCTGTGTCCCACCCCTACAGTCTATGACAGATCCCTAGTGGGTGCTACAATATCTGATTCCCTGTGTCCCACCCCCCCTACAGTCTATGACTGATCCCTAGTGGGTGCTACAATATCTGATTCCCTGTGCCCCACCCACCCCTACAGTCTATGACAGATCCCTAGTGGGTGCTACAATATCTGATTCCCTGTGTCCCACCCACCCCTACAGTCTATGACAGATCCCTAGTGGGTGCTACAATATCTGACCCCTAGTGGGTGCTACAATATCTGATTCCCTGTGTCCCACCCATCCCTACAGTCTGTGACTGATCCCTAGTGGGTGCTACAATATCTGATCCCCTGTGTCCCACCCACCCCTACAGTCTATGACAGTTCCCTAGTGGGTGCTACAATATCTGATTCCCTGTGCCCCACCCACCCCTACAGTCTATGACAGATCCCTAGTGGGTGCTACAATATCTGATTCCCTGTGTCCCACCCACCCCTACAGTCTATGACAGATCCCTAGTGGGTGCTACAATATCTGATTCCCTGTGCCCCACACACCCCTACAGTCTATGACTGATCCCTAGTGGGTGCTACAATATCTGATTCCCTGTGTCCCACCCACCCCTACAGTCTATGACAGATCCCTAGTGGGTGCTACAATATCTGATTCCCTGTGCCCCACACACCCCTACAGTCTATGACTGATCCCTAGTGGGTGCTACAATATCTGATTCCCTGTGTCCCACCCATCCCTACAGTCTGTGACTGATCCCTAGTGGGTGCTACAATATCTGATCCCTAGTGGGTGCTACAATATCTGATTCCCTGTGTCCCACCCACCCCTACAGTCTATGACTGATCCCTAGTGAGTGCTACAATATCTGATTCCCTGTGTCCCACACACCCCTACAGTCTATGACTGATCCCTAGTGGGTGCTACAATATCTGATTCCCTGTGTCCCACCCACCCCTACAGTCTATGACTGATCCCTAGTGAGTGCTACAATATCTGATCCCCTGTGCCCCACCCACCCCTACAGTCTATGACTGATCCCTAGTGGGTGCTACAATATCTGTACCCCTGTGCCCCACCCACCCCTACAGTCTATGACTGATCCCTAGTGGGTGCTACAATATCTGATTCCCTGTGTCCCACCCCCCCTACAGTCTATGACAGATCCCTAGTGGGTGCTACAATATCTGATTCCCTGTGTCCCACCCCTACAGTCTATGACAGATCCCTAGTGGGTGCTACAATATCTGATTCCCTGTGTCCCACCCCCCCTACAGTCTATGACTGATCCCTAGTGGGTGCTACAATATCTGACCCCTAGTGGGTGCTACAATATCTGATTCCCTGTGTCCCACCCATCCCTACAGTCTGTGACTGATCCCTAGTGGGTGCTACAATATCTGATCCCTAGTGGGTGCTACAATATCTGATCCCCTGTGTCCCACCCACCCCTACAGTCTATGACAGTTCCCTAGTGGGTGCTACAATATCTGATTCCCTGTGCCCCACCCACCCCTACAGTCTATGACAGATCCCTAGTGGGTGCTACAATATCTGATTCCCTGTGTCCCACCCACCCCTACAGTCTATGACAGATCCCTAGTGGGTGCTACAATATCTGATTCCCTGTGCCCCACACACCCCTACAGTCTATGACTGATCCCTAGTGGGTGCTACAATATCTGATTCCCTGTGTCCCACCCACCCCTACAGTCTATGACAGATCCCTAGTGGGTGCTACAATATCTGATTCCCTGTGCCCCACACACCCCTACAGTCTATGACTGATCCCTAGTGGGTGCTACAATATCTGATTCCCTGTGTCCCACCCATCCCTACAGTCTGTGACTGATCCCTAGTGGGTGCTACAATATCTGATCCCTAGTGGGTGCTACAATATCTGATCCCCTGTGTCCCACCCACCCCTACAGTCTATGACAGTTCCCTAGTGGGTGCTACAATATCTGATCCCCTGTGTCCCACCCACCCCTACAGTCTATGACAGTTCCCTAGTGGGTGCTACAACATCTGATTCCCTGTGTCCCACCCACCCCTACAGTCTATGACAGATCCCTAGTGGGTGCTACAATATCTGATTCCCTGTGTCCCACCCACCCCTACAGTCTATGACAGATCCCTAGTGGGTGCTACACTATCTGATTCCCTGTGTCCCACCCCTAAAGTCTATGACAGATCCCTAGTGAGGGTACAATATCTGATTCCCTGTGTCCCACCCACCCATACAGTCTATGACTGATCCCTAGTGGGTGCTACAATATCTGATTCCCTGTGTCCCACCCACCCCTACAGTCTATGACAGATCCCTAGTGGGTGCTACACTATCTGATTCCCTGTGTCCCACCCCTAAAGTCTATGACAGATCCCTAGTGAGGGTACAATATCTGATTCCCTGTGCCCCACCCCTACAGTCTATGACAGATCCCTAGTGGGTGCTACAATATCTGATTCCCTGTGCCCCACCCCTACAGTCTATGACAGATCCCTAGTTGGTGCTGCAATATCTGATTCCCTGTGTCCCACCCACCCCTACAGTCTGTGACAGATCCCTAGTGGGTGCTACAATATCTGATTCCCTGTGTCCCACCCCTACAGTCTATGACAGATCCCTAGTGGGTGCTACAATATCTGATTCCCTGTGTCCCACCCACCCCTACAGTTGATGACAGATCCCCAGTGGGTGCTACAATATCTAATTCCCTGTGCCCCACCCCTACAGTCTATGACAGATCCCTAGTGGGTGCTACAATATCTGATTCCCTGTGTCCCACCCCTACAGTCTATGACAGATCCCTAGTGGGTGCTACAATATCTGATTCCCTGTGTCCCACCCCTACAGTCTATGACAGATCCCTAGTGGGTGCTACAATATCTGATTCCCTGTGCCCCACCCCTACAGTCTATGACAGATCCCTAGTGGGTGCTACAATATCTGATTCCCTGTGTCCCACCCCTACAGTCTATGACAGATCCCTAGTGGGTGCTACAATATCTAATTCCCTGTGCCCCACCCCTACAGTCTATGACAGATCCCTAGTGGGTGCTACAATATCTGATTCCCTGTGTCCCACCCCTACAGTCTATGACAGATCCCTAGTGGGTGCTACAATATCTGATTCCCTGTGTCCCACCCCTACAGTCTATGACAGATCCCTAGTGGGTGCTACAATATCTGATTCCCTGTGCCCCACCCCTACAGTCTATGACAGATCCCTAGTGGGTGCTACAATATCTGATTCCCTGTGTCCCACCCCTACAGTCTATGACAGATCCCTAGTGGGTGCTACAATATCTAATTCCCTGTGCCCCACCCCTACAGTCTATGACAGATCCCTAGTGGGTGCTACAATATCTGATTCCCTGTGTCCCACCCCTACAGTCTATGACAGATCCCTAGTGGGTGCTACAATATCTGATTCCCTGTGCCCCACCCACCCCTACAGTCTGTGACAGATCCCTAGTGGGTGTTACAATATGTAATTCCCTGTGTCCCACCCCTACAGTCTATAACAGATCCCTAGTGGGTGCTACAATATCTGATGCCCTGTGTCCCACCCACCCCTACAGTATATGACAGATCCCTAGTGGGTGCTACAATATCTGATCCCTAGTGGGTGCAACAATATATGATTCCCTGTGTCCCACCCACCCCTACAGTCTATGACAGATCCCTAGTGGGTGCTACAATATCTGATTCCCTGTGTCCCACCCACCCCTACAGTCTATGACAGATCCCTAGTGGGTGCTACAATATCTGATTCCCTGTGTCCCACCCCTACAGTCTATGACAGATCCCTAGTGGGTGCTACAATATCTGATTCCCTGTGTCCCACCCATCCCTACAGTCTATGACAGATCCCTAGTGGGTGCTACAATATCTGATTCCCTGTGTCCCACCCACCCCTACAGTCTATGACTGATCCCTAGTGGGTGCTACAATATCTGATTCCCTGTGTCCCACCCATCCCTACAGTCTATGACTGATCCCTAGTGGGTGCTACAATATCTGATTCCCTGTGTCCCACCCACCCCTACAGTCTATGACAGATCCGTAGTGGGTGCTACAATATCTGATTCCCTGTGCCCCACACACCCCTACAGTCTATGACAGATCCCTAGTGGGTGCTACAATATCTGATCTCTGTGTCCCACCCACCCCTACAGTCTATGACAGATCCCTAGTGGGTGCTACAATATCTGATTCCCTGTGCCCCACACACCCCTACAGTCTATGACAGATCCCTAGTGGGTGCTACAATATCTGATCCCCTGTGCCCCACCCACCCCTACAGTCTATGACAGATCCCTAGTGGGTGCTACAACATCTGATTCCCTGTGTCCCACCCACCCCTACAGTCTATGACAGATCCCTAGTGGGTGCTACAATATCTGATTCCCTGTGCCCCACCCATCCCTACAGTCTATGACTGATCCCTAGTGGGTGCTACAATATCTGATTCCCTGTGTCCCACCCCTACAGTCTATGACTGATCCCTAGTGGGTGCTACAATATCTGATCTCTGTGTCCCACCCACCCCTACAGTCTATGACAGATCCCTAGTGGGTGCTGCAATACGTGATCCCTAGTGGGTGCTACAATATCTGATTCCCTGTGCCCCACCCACCCCTACAGTCTATGACAGATCCCTAGTGGGTGCTACAATATCTGATTCCCTGTGTCCCACCCACCCCTACAGTCTATGACTGATCCCTAGTGGGTGCTACAATATCTGATTCCCTGTGCCCCACCCACCCCTACAGTCTATGACTGATCCCTAGTGGGTGCTACAATATCTGATTCCAAGTGCCCTACCCACCCCTACAGTCTGTGACAGATCCCGAGTGGGTGCTACAATATCTGATTCCCTGTGTCCCCCCCCCACACCTACAGTCTATGACTGATCCCTAGTGGGTGCTGCAATATCTGATCGCTAGTGGGTGCTGCAATATCTGATCCCTAGTGGGTGCTACAATATCTGATCCCTAGTGGGTGCTGCAATATCTGATCCCTAGTGGGTGCTACAATATCTGATCCCTAGTGGGTGCTACACTATCTGATCCCTAGTGGGTGCTGCAATATCTGATCGCTAGTGGGTGCTACAATATCTGATCCCTAGTGGGTGCTGCAATATCTGATCGCTAGTGGGTGCTGCAATATCTGATCGCTAGTGGGTGCTGCAATATCTGATCGCTAGTGGGTGCTGCAATATCTGATCGCTAGTGGGTGCTACAATATCTGATCCCTAGTGGGTGCTACAATATCTGATCCCTAGTGGGTGGTACAGTATCTGATCCCTAGTGGGTGCTGCAATATCTGACCCCTAGTGGGTGCTACAATATCTGATCCCTAGTGGATGCTACAATATCTGATCCCTAGTGGGTGCTACAATATCTGATCCCTAGTGGGTGCTACAATATCTGATCCCTAGTGGGTGCTAAAATATCTGATCCCTAGTGGGTGCTACAATATCTGATCCCTAGTGGGTGCTACAATATCTGATCCCTAGTGTGTGCTACAATATCTGATCCCTACCAGTGGGTGCTACAATATCTGATCCCTAGTGTTAGATCTTTGAGGATGAACTGTGTGGCATCTGGGACAATAGAAGTACACACATTATTGTTTTAATTGTGATGCTAACTAGTTATTGTGGTTACCCTGGTAACAGATGTTGACGATGTTTCAGTGGCACAACAGCCATGTACTGGTCCATCTTCAACTGTCGTGAACCGACGCTGCGCCTGCTGCTGTCTGCCGGAGCGTCCTTCACCCCGGAACAGTTCACCAAGTACCCCCGGAACCTGAAGGTTATGCGTAACGAGCAGCTGGTGACCTTCATCCAGGAGTCTGTGTGTCAGCCAAGGTCACTTGCCGCCCTGGCTGTGTTCCAGGTCCGCCAGGTCATCTCAAGGGTCATGGGAGGTCGCAGTGTCAAGGACAGTGTCTTACAACTTCCTGTGCCTGACAAGGTCAAAGACAGTGTTCTGCTTCTTAACGATATATGACCCCGTGATTTATGACCCGGTGATATATAACCCAGGGATATATGACCCGGTGATATATGACCCAGTGATATATAACCCGTTGATATATGACCCAGTGATATATGACCCATTGATATATGACCCGCTTGATATATAACCCCATGATATATGACCCAGCGATATATGACCTGGTGATATATGACCCGGTGCTATATGACCCCATGATATATGACCCAGGGATATATGACCGAGTGATATATGACCCAGTGCTGTATGACCCAGGGATATATGACCAAGTGCTATAAGACCCAGTGCTATATAACCCAATGCTATAAGACCCAGTGCTATATGACCCAGGGATATATGACCAAGTGCTATATGACCCAGGGATATATGACCCAGGGATATATGACCAAGTGCTATAAGACCCAGGGATATATGCCCCAATGCTATAAGACCCAGTGCTATATGACCCAGGGATATATGACCAAGTGCTATATGACCCAGGGATATAAGACCCAGGGATATATGACCCAGTGCTATATGACCCAGGGATATAAGACCCAGGGATATATGACCCAGGTCTATTTGCTTGGTTTCTAAGAAGACTCGTGATTTTTGTCATCTGGAAACTTTTTTAATTACATCTAGAAGCATATATTTTAATCAGTATTAATATATTGTTTGCAAATCTTTATTTGTTCAATCATATTTTAATCTGTTCATGGGCACCTGTGTCATCACTGATTTTCAGTGATCCAATCAAATAATTTTCGTCACGACTTTGCCTTTTATGCCAGTAGAGTCTGTTTAAGATGGTCAAGACTGTTATTCTCAGGTGCTGCCTGTTTAGTGTGTGGAAGCACCCAGGAACTATGTAATGGGAGTGTGTTGAAGCACCCAGGAACTGTGTGGTGGTAGTGTGTGGAAGCACCCAGGAACTGTGTTGTGGGAGTCTGTTGAAGCACCCAGGAACTGTGTAGTGGGAGTGTGTGGAAGCACCCAGGAACTGTGTAGTGGGAGTCTGTGGAAGCACCCAGGAACTGTGTAGTGGGAGTGTATGGAAGCACCCAGGAACTGTGTATTGGGAGTCGGTGAAAGCACCCAGGAACTGTGTAGTGGGAGTCTGTGGAAGCACCCATGAACTGTGTATTGGGAGTGTGTGGAAGCACCCATGAACTGTGTAGTGGGAGTGTGTTGAAGCACCCAGTAACTGTGTAGTGGGAGTGTGTGGAAGCACCCAGGAACTGTGTAGTGGAAGTGTGTTAAAGCACCCAGGAGCTATGTTGTGGGAGTGTGTGAAAGCACCCAGGAACTGTGTAGTGGGAGTGTGTTGAAGCACCCAGGAACTGTGAGTGGGAGTCTGTTGAAGCACCCAGGAACTGTGTAGTGGGAGTCTGTTGAAGCACCCAGGAACTGTGTAGTGGGAGTGTGTGGAAGCACCCAGGAACTGTGTAGTGGGAATGTGTTGAAGCACCCAGTAACTGTGTAGTGGGAGTCTGTTGAAGCACCCAGGAACTGTGTAGTGGGAGTCTGTTGAAGCACCCAGGAACTGTGTAGTGGGAGTCTGTGGAAGCACCCAGGAACTATGTAATGGGAGTGTGTTGAAGCACCCAGGAACTGTGTGGTGGTAGTGTGTGGAAGCACCCAGGAACTGTGTTGTGGGAGTCTGTTAAAGCACCCAGGAACTGTGTAGTGGGAGTGTGTGGAAGCACCCAGGAACTGTGTAGTGGGAGTGTGTGGAAGCACCCAGGAACTGTGTAGTGGGAGTGTGTGGAAGCACCCAGGAACTGTGTAGTGGGAGTGTGTTGAAGCACCCAGGAACTGTGTAGTGGGAGTCTGTGGAAGCACCTAGGAACTGTGTAGTGGGAGTGTGTGGAAGCACCCAGGAACTGTGTAGTGGGAGTGTGTGGAAGCACCCAGGAACTGTGTTGTGGGAGTGTATGGAAGGACCCAGGAACTGTGTTGTGGGAGTGTGTGGAAGCACCCAGGAACTGTGTAGTGGGAGTGTATGGAAGGACCAAGGAACTGTGTAGTGGGAGTCTTTTGATATGTACCAGGGATTCACACCGGTTTCCGAGATGTTGATAATAAATCCACACCCAATAAGTTCCCAAAGGCATTATAATTATAATTAATGTTTTATCTTTGAAATGTGTTTTATTTCCATTGATATTAAGAAAAGAACTTGGCCTTATGTTTCATATTATTGCTTCGAATGACATATTACTTGCAGATACTTGCATACTTAAAAAATTGAGTCTCAATCAGTTCCCTATTTTAGATAAGGTAATGTTTTTTCCCAGGTAAGTGAGTGAGTGAGTGAGTGAGTGAGTGAGTATGGTTTTACTTTTAGCAATATTCCAGCATTATCACGTCGGAGGACACCAGAAATGGACATCTGTAGATAGATTAAGATTTGTATTTATCTATAATGGGTAGGTTTCTCGGCAGGATAAATCCAATGGATAAAAACGATATCCGTTGGGATCATATGCCGATAGAGATGCAAATATCAAAGTTCATATGTTTCGCTGTTTATAAACAGACATGGCGTCGCCCTCGTCATTCGGCGATCAAGTCAGAATTAACAATCGGGAATCTGGATAAACTACAAGGATAATTGCTATCATTATCAAAAGAACAGTCTAATATACTGAAATTCAGTGTCTTACTGTGACGTAGCTAAGGCATTTTTGGCAACTTTGGAGATATAAATTTCGAAACTATTTTGCGAGGGCACGAGGCCTAGCCAAGCGGATCAGTAGCCATATCTGTGCTTGTAGACCTCTGCGGCTTGAAACCTCCACAAATTAAAGTAGTTGGATTTGGCCCAAATATGATTGAATTGTTACCTTGTTTCATTTTGTCGCTGTGTGTACATCTGACTACACTTCTTAACGTTATAACAGGACAGACCGACTGTCAACAATGTCTGACTGTTGACGTGATGTCTCATAGACTAGGGTTAGAGTAGCTTCCCTTTGACAAAGGGCAGTTACTCTAGCGGACAGACCGATGGATTGCCGCGAAAGGCATTTAAAAACAACTGTTGTTTTGCATATATGTTGCTTCGCCACTGTATAAGAAACAGATTTGAGTTGGAACTAAATTGGCTACTGTCACTGTCCGACTGAAACATCACTTACCCTGTGACGTAATAAATATTAATGCGCGCATTCCAGGAAAACTCGCAATGTTTCGGTAATGTTTGTGAGAGAGGGAACGCGATTTTAAAGCACAGAATTAAAGAATGACATTATGTGATAAAGAGGTTATCACGCTTGTGTCTTTGGGGATGGTAAATATCCTGTATTAGGAATAAACACTATGTATTTAGCTCGCCAAGGCTCGCTAAATACAATGTTTATTCCTAATGCAGGATATTTACCATCCACACCACACACTCGCCTGATAACCTATATTTACACACTCAGGGTTTCCTGGAGCAGCATTATGGGAGACATTCCGAAATGTTCTGTATCACAGCCAGGGGCAACTCACTCACTCACTCACTCACTCACCCACCCACCCACCCACCCACTCACCCACTCACCCACTCACTCACTCACTCACTCACTCACTCACATCCAGACATTGCATTTAAAAGAGAGCCAGTCAGTGAAACCTTTGTAATACAGAAAATCATAAGGAATCTACATGTTTATTTTATTAATTATCCCCCGTCTGTCCATCTGTCAAGTAATGTATGTAATCAGTTATTACTTTCTTTTGAACAGAATATCACCAGATACACATGCAAATAGAATATGGTACATGTTCTGACTGGCTGTTATACATCAGGTGTGGAGACTGGCCGGGAATAACAAGGATGTGCACCAGTAGTGGATGTGTATGTTCTGTAGCTGTTATACATCAGGTGTTGAAACTGACAGGAAATAACAAGGATGTGCACCAGTAGTGGATGTGTATGTTGTGCAGCTGTTATACATCAGGTGTTGAGACTGACAGGGAATAACAAGGATGTGCACCAGTAGTGGATGTGTATGTTCTGTAGCTGTTATACACCAGGTGCTGAGACTGACAGGGAATAACAAGGATGTGCACCAGTAGTGGATGTGTATGTTCTGTAGCTGTTATACACCAGGTGCTGAGACTGACAGGGAATAACAAGGATGTGCACCAGTAGTGGATGTGTATGTTCTGTAGCTGTTATACACCAGGTGCTGAGACTGACAGGGAATAACAAGGATGTGCACCAGTAGTGGATGTGTATGTTCTGTAGCTGTTATACACCAGGTGCTGAGACTGACAGGGAATAACAAGGATGTGCACCAGTAGTGGATGTGTATGTTCTGTAGCTGTTATACACCAGGTGCTGAGACTGACAGGGAATAACAAGGATGTGCACCAGTAGTGGATGTGTATGTTCTGTAGCTGTTATACATCAGGTGTGGAGACTGACAGGGAATAACAAGGATGTGCACCAGTAGTGGATGTGTATGTTCTGTAGCTGTTATACATCAGGTGTTGAGACTGACAGGGAATAACAAGGTTGTGCACCAGTAGTGGATGTGTATGTTCTGCAGCTGTTATACATCAGGTGTTGAGACTGACAGGGAATAACAAGGATGTGCACCAGTAGTGGATGTGTATGTTCTGTAGCTGTTATACATCAGGTGTGGAGACTGACAGGGAATAACAAGGATGTGCACTAGTAGTGGATGTGTATGTTCTGTAGCTGTTTTACATCAGGTGCTGAGACTGACAGGGAATAACAAGGATGTGCACCAGTAGTGGATGTGGATGTTCTGTAGCTGTTATACATCAGGTGTTGAGACTGACAGGGAATAACAAGGATGTGCACCAGTAGTGGATGTGTATGTTCTGTAGCTGTTATACATCAGGTATTGAGACTGACAGGGAATAACACGGATGTGCACTAGTAGTGGATGTGTATGTTCTGTAGCTGTTATACATCAGGTGATGAGACTGACAGGGAATAACCATCATGTGCACCAGTAGTGGATGTGTATGTTCTGTAGCTGTTATACATCAGGTATTGAGACTGACAGGGAATAACAAGGATGTGCACCAGTAGTGGATATGTATGTTCTGTAGCTGTTATACATCAGGTGCTGAGACTGACAGGGGATAACAAGGATGTGCACCAGTAGTGGATGTGTATGTTGTGTAGCTGTTATACATCAGGTGTTGAGACTGACAGGGAATAACAAGGATGTGCACCAGTAGTGGATGTGTATGTTCTGTAGCTGTTATACACCAGGTGCTGAGACTGACAGGGAATAACAAGGATGTGCACCAGTAGTGGATGTGTATGTTCTGCAGCTGTTATACATCAGGTGTGGAGACTGACAGGGGATAACAAGGATGTGCACCAGTAGTGGATGTGTATGTTCTGCAGCTGTTATACATCAGGTGTTGAGACTGACAGGGAATAACAAGGATGTGCACCAGTAGTGGATGTGTATGTTCTGCAGCTGTTATACATCAGGTGTTGAGACTGACAGGGAATAACAAGGATGTGCACCAGTAGTGGATGTGTATGTTCTGCAGCTGTTATACATCAGGTGTTGAGACTGGCCGGGGATAACAAGGATGTGCACCAGTAGTGGATGTGTATGTTCTGTAGCTGTTATACATCAGGTGCTGAGACTGACAGGAAATAAGAAGGATGTGCACCAGTAGTGGATGTGTATGTTCTGTAGATGTTATACATCAGGTGTTGAGACTGACAGGAAATAACAAGGATGTGCACCAGTAGTGGATGTGTATGTTGTGCAGCTGTTATACATCATGTGTTGAGCCTGACGGAATAACAAGGAGGTGCACCAGTAGTGGATGTGTATGTTCTGTAGCTGTTATACATCAGGTGTTGAGACTGACAGGGAATAACAAGGATGTGCACCAGTAGTGGATGTGTATGTTCTGTATCTGTTATACATCAGGTGCTGAGACTGACAGGGAATAACAAGGATGTGCACCAGTAGTGGATGTGTATGTTCTGTAGCTGTTATACACCAGGTGCTGAGACTGACAGGGAATAACAAGGATGTGCACCAGTAGTGGATGTGTATGTTCTGTAGCTGTTATACACCAGGTGCTGAGACTGACAGGGAATAACAAGGATGTGCACCAGTAGTGGATGTGTATGTTCTGTAGCTGTTATACACCAGGTGCTGAGACTGACAGGGAATAACAAGGATGTGCACCAGTAGTGGATGTGTATGTTCTGTAGCTGTTATACACCAGGTGCTGAGACTGACAGGGAATAACAAGGATGTGCACCAGTAGTGGATGTGTATGTTCTGTAGCTGTTATACACCAGGTGCTGAGACTGACAGGGAATAACAAGGATGTGCACCAGTAGTGGATGTGTATGTTCTGTAGCTGTTATACATCAGGTGTGGAGACTGACAGGGAATAACAAGGATGTGCACCAGTAGTGGATGTGTATGTTCTGTAGCTGTTATACATCAGGTGTTGAGACTGACAGGGAATAACAAGGTTGTGCACCAGTAGTGGATGTGTATGTTGTGCAGCTGTTATACAACAGGTGTTGAGACTGACAGGGAATAACAAGGATGTGCACCAGTAGTGGATGTGTATGTTCTGTAGCTGTTATACACCAGGTGCTGAGACTGACAGGGAATAACAAGGATGTGCACCAGTAGTGGATGTGTATGTTCTGTAGCTGTTATACACCAGGTGCTGAGACTGACAGGGAATAACAAGGATGTGCACCAGTAGTGGATGTGTATGTTCTGTAGCTGTTATACACCAGGTGCTGAGACTGACAGGGAATAACAAGGATGTGCACCAGTAGTGGATGTGTATGTTCTGTAGCTGTTATACACCAGGTGCTGAGACTGACAGGGAATAACAAGGATGTGCACCAGTAGTGGATGTGTATGTTCTGTAGCTGTTATACATCAGGTGTGGAGACTGACAGGGAATAACAAGGATGTGCACCAGTAGTGGATGTGTATGTTCTGTAGCTGTTATACATCAGGTGTTGAGACTGACAGGGAATAACAAGGTTGTGCACCAGTAGTGGATGTGTATGTTGTGCAGCTGTTATACAACAGGTGTTGAGACTGACAGGGAATAACAAGGATGTGCACCAGTAGTGGATGTGTATGTTCTGTAGCTGTTATACATCAGGTGTGGAG